ATTACAAAATTCAAATCCCACTATTCATAAATTTCGGAACCAAAAAACAACAAAAATTGGTTTGATAGGACTAGGTCATTTTCTCGTGACAGTTGAAGTATAAAAATACCAATCGACTCATCGCAAAAAAACACATCGGATAAGTCATTGACCATTGTGAAATTTTATTTTCACATTTCATAAGGTTTACGCGTAAAAGTACGACAAAATGTATCATTCTTAACGCAGAACCTTACCTCAGAGAGTTCGAGGGGCAACAGTATTGTGTACAACACACGAATATTATAATATATTCGGGCAGATTCGCGTAGACAAAATATTTCAGCGTTTCGTGGATCGTAAATGTCGAATGCTCAAAACTAAAACAGCGGAAAAGCGCCAGTAACAATTATTAAACTGTAGCGCGACGGCTAACCGAGCGCGTTTTCCAAGACCATTGCAGGTAATATACGCGTACTTCGGTCGACGGACCTAGAACTCAGAAGTCATCTCTATAATAACGTCGACATCGCGTTCACCGGTAAACCGGGTTCTCGGTGCAATCGATGGTCTTTATCGCGGCAGACCGTTCGAGATGATTAACGACGGACGGCCAGGCGTATATGAGCACGGCGTTTTTGAATCCGATTTTACGCTCAATATACCACGTGAGCGACACATCACTGCACCGTAAATTGCGGATGACAGTTGACGTGGTTCGATCCGAGCTCCGCGCGCCACACACGAGAGAAGAGCGTTTACAGTCAATTTGTCACCGCCGCCGCTGCCCCGCGATTCGACACTTGCAGGAATGATCGGCGACGGGGGAAAAAAAATCGGTGGAGGTGTTTTCTCGCGAGTGTGCAAAAAAAAAAATACGTATTTTACGAATTCCCCGGTGCGTCATTAGCATCGATTTCACGCACTGAAATCCAGTCGCATAGCTAACGCACGCGTAATCCCGAAGCGGCGTGCGACGGGAGCCGCTAGTAAGCTGCCCGTTATTGAACTAACATGAATAATAATGAAATTATGGGTTTTATCGCGTTATGGTGTGTTTGCCGTCGTCGAAACGGGTGCGTATAAGCTCCGACTAACCGCACGGTCAGATCGATCGGTTTTGAGGCGACCCACATTGTTCGCTTTGCAGGTGCGAAACGCGCAAATTGTAAAGGATAACGAAGGGCCTGAACACAATATCGCGGGAGATTATGCATCCGGTACAGAGTTGCACGGACAAAAGACTCGCGAGTGCCGACGTCGAGACGTAACGTCGTTATTATAATATTATTATCGTTGTACACACGACGAGAGTGGTGTCATATTATCATCACTAATTGTCGTGAAAGCGCAATGCTTTTGTTCGGCTCTAACGAAGACGGTTTACTATTTTTCGCGCCCGCGCGTTTGTTTCTGTGTATGGGTTTGTGTGTGTATGTACAATACTTGTCGGGTCCGGACAGTTGACAAACAATATTTCCGAAGATTAAAGGGTTAAACTTTTCGACAGTTTCTCGACCCTTAAAGAACGGCCAACAAGACACTGCTGGCGGTAATGGTGGCGGTGTTGGTGGTGGTGGTGATCCGGGGTTTAGTTGAGTTTGTCCAAGGATTTGTTTCGGATGACAATTATTATTTTTTTCCCCAACGTGTAATTTGACGACACTTGTCATGCCGTTGTCGGTCATAGCAATTACATGAATATACCCAAACAGCCTTTCTTTTCTAACATCACGCGGGTAAACAAATTAAATTATACAAAATGTGAAATCCTGAGCATTTTCTGGAATTGAAAAAATCTTCTTATGTTTGATGCAATGACGTCTGAAGAAAAAAAAAAAGCAAACGGTGTTAATCGCTTTTAAGCCCCACGATTCCACAAACCTATCGTCTTCGATCGTTTATGTATAAATACGACTTATCGATTAATTTTTTTCGTCTTTCTTGTGACTGTGTTCTAATTGACATGAACGATATTAAGGAGCATTTAGGCTCAAACACTTTTTGATATCCTATACCGACATATTACATAGCCAACTAAAAATGAATCATCCGTACATGTATAATACCTGCTGCACGAATGAAGATCAGCATTTTTCAAAGCCCGCACAGATGATCGTACGTTTTTCGCAAATTGATAAAATATTTAAAAATTGCATGTGACCAATTTTAAAAACATAAAATTGTAATAAACCATAAAACCTAGAAACATTTTATAGCTTTACAACCGTGTATCTATCAACCACATCGCGGTGTCATATCACGAAAAACATTTTCTTTGAATTTTTAACGTGGTGCGTGTTTCCACGCGATTTATAACATATACCGTAATCAACGCGTACTGTTTTAACGTTATTTTTGCGAGTAAAATAGTCGTTGGTAATACAATCATCAATCGGGTATTTCGTTACACGCATTTTAAATAAATATGTACCAAAAATACTTTGATATAATAAAAAAGCGATTTAAATCAGATACGTACATGATAATAGAACTTTTAGTAGAGTCCGCGTTAAACACTAGTAGCGGTTAATGATTCCACCCACCGTGGGAGTTGTATACTCCAGAAAACAATTACTTGTTTGCCTCACTATTTAGCTATAGTACACACTTACTCGCGGTTTTGGTGTGTGAACGTTTCCCAATAAATAACGTCCTGATTGTTTAACGTAACCGCCGACCGCCAGTTTGTTGGACTACGGGTCATGCCTATGTTTGTATTTTTTTTTTTCGGTTACCCAAAACGATATTTTGTTCGGTTAATCGGGCTGTACTACTTGCAATACCTATATGAAGACTGCGATAAATCGAAAATATTAATTATATTATTTTTGCATTTTCTGTTGGTGTTTCGTCGTAGAACTCCATTCAAGAGTCCGAAGAGAATCTATACAAGAGGAGAACATACACCATCTAAGTCATCAACGCTAAAACTGCGCTGGTATAATGTGGACTATGTGTTTCGTAGCCATTGCGTGCGCTTTACTGTCAATGCAGGGCGCGGACTCCAACGTCGGGCTGACGAGCACCTCGTTCAGCAACGAGCTACGCACTGGTTTTGCCAGGCTGTTCCAGAACGGTGTCGAACAACCACTGCAGCAGTCGCCATTCGTATTTCTCAATCCCACCGATTTCCAGTCTGGCACAGACCGGCTGATCCAGCGACCTCCACCGTTCAGCCCACTGGCGGCCACGGGATTCAAGCCGTCGCGCCCTAGGTACGAGTTGCAGTATCTGTCGTGGGTGATTCCTTATTATTATGTCCCTACTAGGTTCCCGTCGTCGCCGAGGGGTGGTGGTGGCAAGCGACCTAACGACGTGCTGGTGATCGTCGTCAAAACCAGATCGAATTGCACCGCCAACGAGACGATGGCCGAGGGAGATGACGAAGACGTTGAAAACGAAGTAAGCAGTAGCTATCAGTATATACTCTTAAAACCTACCAATCTAGAGACATTTCTGACCAGATTTGATAACAAAACTACCAAAAAAAAAAAAAAAATTGTTTTGCTAGTTTAAAACATCTTTTTTAGCGATTCCCTAGCGATTTAACTTATAAAAAAAAATAAACATCTAAAATAATTGATATGGAGTACCAAAAAATAAAAATTAAAAAAATAACACTTAATACATTTATATTATAATCTATCGACTGATAAGAGTATATATAAATATAATTAATTAATTATTAAGTAAATCTAATGAAATAGGTTTGTTTGAAATAAGAGTAAAAATTGTAAAATTCGTAAGTATTGCTATAAATAGAGGTTGAAATATTAACTTGATGAATAGACAATAGTATGATATAATAATCTCATCAATATTATATTAGCTCTTTTCTTAATATAACATAATAACATGAGATCACAGAAACAAGAATAATATAACAAAATAATTTTTTATAATTATAAAAATACGAGTGTATCGTAGTTTACAAAAATTGATTGAAATACTTTAAATCTTAATATGGTCAAATATGCCAACTTTTTGTTAACGATTTTTTGATCGAAGTTTCACAATCCTAAGTCAAAATATCAAAGGACAGCACGTTAAGCAGCGTATATTAGAGAATCATCAAAACGTGAAATTTAATTAAGTATTAATAATAGGTGGCAATAAAACAAACAATAATATTATTTCTATTATACACTGCTGTGCGACTATTGAGTAGAAATGTGACTATTTCATTCATCTGTGATCCAACGATCTGAAAATACGATGCAATCTTATCACAAATCGCCATTAGAGGACTACATTTCACCACCGTTAACGGTTTTGTATAATATTTTATCGACCCATTTCTATTTGATTTGTAAATAATTATTTAATTGAAAAAAAAAAAAAAATCATTTATTCAAACTGTTTACCCTATACACAACCCTTACGATGTTTATACTTTTATCCGTCAATAATTTGATCAATAATTAGTGATGACCCTGCAGAAACGTGACGAACATGGTTTTTAATTGGGTTACTCGATGTTTTCGCGGAGTGGATAAAACCGACTAGTTCATGATTAATGTACGTATATTATACAGCTTGAAGTTATAAGAACAACATTTAAAAAATAATAATAATAATAGGTACCGTTGTGAAACGTATTAAAATTCACGCCGTCAATAACATCGTGTACCTATACAATACATCGAAATATATTTTACCTAATTATTATATCAATTCAACATAATGTTAAGGTCAATTATGGTTGCTGGGATTTATACACTGGGGGTGGATGATGGGTATTTTTTTGAAACATTTTTCCAGAGTAGGCGTTTTTCTACCCAACCCCACGTCGAATTTTCGTAAAACCAGGAAAAAACTGTTTGCGTTTGTACCGAGAGAATTCGTTTTTACGAAAACTCGACCTATAACCGTCGTTTGGCGGCGTGAACCCGATACGGTCTCATGTTGACACCTATATGCCCGCAGGGACCGAACCCGGACGACGAAGTCGAAGAAGTGGACATCGTCACCGGCGGCACGGAAAAGGGCAAGGAACCGTCCCGGTGCGTGTGGGCCATTCTGTCGTGCTGCGCCCCGGCCAACACGCCCATCCGGTACACGTGTTTCGACGTGTTGGGCTGCAGCACGGCGTTCTGGGACTCCAACCCGTGCGTGCCGGCCATCATAAAGGCCGCTTTGGACCAGGCCACCGAGTACTACGGTACGGTCGCGTCCACCAACCGCACCGCCGCCACGCCGCCGATGCCCACGCCGCCGGCCGGCTCGGTGGCGGCGTCCACCGACAACCTGGCCTCCCTGATGTTCGGCGCGTCCACCGCTCCGGCCGCGGCGGCCGCTTCGCCGGTGGACCTGACCACGCCGGCAGCCGCCGCCGCCGACGCCGCCGCCACCACTACCGTCGCTTAGTCGTCGCCGCTGCCGCTTCCGCGCTTCGCCGTTCGTCCGACAACAATCCACAATCGCCGCGGACGACGACCTTGAAAACAGTGTAAAAATCCTTTTGAGGCCGTCCTCCCGTGTACGGGACAGGAGACCGGAGAACAGAAGCCGACGGCAACTATACTCGCCCCGCCCTCGATCAGCAATTCGACACGATAATTAAATACCTATGATTAAACATTAAACTTAAGACTATCTGTTTAGTGAGATCTGTCGTGCACTTTAAATTTTCACTGTACAAAACGTAAAAGTCTTCAGTCACCGATAAAATTAATATATATATATATATATACATCCGGTGCCGGATCTATGTAGGAGGACGTTATTGACGACCGCGTCGGGTAAAAAAATCGTTTTCCCCATTTTATTGACGTCAATATTATTGTCTTTTTTTGCGGGTAATTTCGGTGTTTCTGTTTTATTATTATTATTATTATTATTTTATTTTTATTTTATCTTTGGTTTCCATAAAAACTCGACGTAGATACTTCATTGAGCACGCAAACGGATTTAATCGTAATTTAAAATACGAACACAAACTGAATTTATAAGTTTTTACGGTATTTAATATATAAAATAAAAAAAAAGCAAAACAAAACAATAATGCGCGTACGAAAATATTTAAAAAACTTTTTCGTTTGACTTCGACTGCTTTGTTGCGAAATCGTTTTTAGCATCATCACCGTTGATTCTTTGTACACTTACAATACTTTTATACACAACGTTTTGTTCTCTTGTGTAAAACGATCGTCTTTAAAACTTAATACGTAGTAGGTACAACATTAACACAACTGAACTGTAACTAAATCGTGAACGACCAATATTATTCTATTTTTTATTACTCTTGTGGTTTATTTATTTATTTAATTAAATTCATGACATTCTTTCATTTTTTGACTTCGAACCCTGTACGAAAGATGTCTAAGATGAGAAATCCTGTCCCCCCCTCCGTAGATCCGGCACTATTTTTATCAAACGCTATAGCATTGTATGTAATATAATTAAATATTATGTCATTTTCACTAGTTTTTTATGGATACATTTCGTTCTCAAATGTAATATTGATTATTTTTCATTAACTATAATAAAATACAATATACTATTTTTCTTCCGCGTTATTTTTACAATGTTCTGGATTTAAAAATATTCGTTTAGAACATTTTTTTTTTTTAAATTCTCCTTTGAATTAAAATGTTTTCTATCCTTTTCACTGATTCATTTTTAACACTTACTATAGATATTAAAGACTTCAAACAGTTTAAACCTATTTAAGTACCGATTAATAGTCTGACAGTATTTTTTTCCTAAATTTAGAGTACTTATGATATCTGTTTGTCTCAATAGTTGCGTATATTTTATTATTGAATGAGAACACTTCACAAATCGTAACTTTTACAATCATTTACAATTATAATCTGTCATGGGCTAATAATAATATTTTCATACTATCATATAGTCTGAACTTTGTAAACGATAAATTGGATCTAAAACTGATAGACATCAAATAATCAATGTATATACTGTTTTGACTTACGTTTAAAAGGTTTATTAATTACAAAGATTTTATCACTATAAAATATATATTATGTTAATTTTACTAAGCAATGAACTTTATTATCTACAAATAAAAAAAACATCAAGATATCTAAGTTACTAGTACGTAATCGTTGCATAATAAAAGATTCCCAAATTACCTGCTTTTATTGGGATGTAATTTTTTGAAACTCTGGTCATTTTTATCTACCTACATAACGTAATTTTATGATATATTTATGACATACACTTACTTAATACTCACAGGTTACAGTGTTAATTGCTATAAGTGTTTAATTGAATGATACTTCAATATTTACAAAATATAAATTTAAAATTAAGTAAATTCTTACTATTCTAATTTTAATTTTACGATTATAATAATAACGCTGTATATAATCTACTAGGTACTACGGTTAAACAATGACTATGAATAAATTACTTATAGCCAAATTAACTCTTAGATAATTTGCATAAATATATATGATTCATAAATATTAAATATTTGAATATTTGAATATATAAATACATAAACAACAGCATGTGAAATGAGTATTGCACACAGTACTTAATTTAAGCTCATTCAAACTAAATATAAAAAATTGTTTAAAAACAATATCATCGTTTATAATGACTATTTGATATTTTTATGTTTATAAACATAAACATAACTCTTTGACATAATTTTTTTTTTTTTTAATTCCTCGACAGTTAAATTGTATTAAAGTTATTGGACTATATTAACACATTATCAAATTAATAATCATTATGTGATAACCTAACCATACTTTTTTCTTGTAAATTAAGTAAATATTTATTGAGATATAATAATATTTTCATCGTTCAGTGTTTTTTCACTTTTTATTTTTCAAAAATCTTTTACTGACTAACAATATTACTATTTGTAAATTGTAATGCATTTTAGTTTTAAACTGACTATATAGAGCTTAAAATTAGCACAATAGGATTTATTTTGCCAACTTATATTGACAATAGGAAAGTTAGGTTTATTTATACTTCTGGACTTTTCAAAGCCAAATACATTTTCTAATAATACCAAAACCTTTATTACCATTCAGAATTGTATTCGCTCTTTCAAATAAGTGCGTATCGGATGTATTTTAATATAATTTGTTTGTTTGCTGCTGTTTTAGTTTAAGTAACTTTTATATTGTATACCTTTTTCGTCGATCTGACTTCTATAAAGTAAATTAATACTTTATTATAACTCGAGATTTAAAAAAAAAAAAAATACAATATAAATAAAAATTGATAAACACGAATCGTATGCACACTATGTGCTTGATGAAAACTCTATAATATTATGATCACGCGCCTGTCATCGCTTGCATTTTTTAATAATATACCGAACGCACACATCAGTCTTTACAATCAATCAATGACACTACAATTCAATCACAGACTACTTTTAGAGTATATAATCAAAAGAAAAAAAATCCAAACCGTTTTCCTCCCTTGTCGTCTCCATTATTTTCATTCGGGCAAATGTCTGCCACATTTGTTGTGTTCCTTTTTTTTCCTTAAAAATCCTATTTATATTTTATGTGTGTGTGTGTGTGTGTGTGTGTGTGTGTGTGTGTGTGTGTGTGTGAGAGAGAGAGAGAGTGTACATGAGTCAAAATTAAACGCTCTAGAAAAATAAAAATAATAAGGAAAATAACAAAAGGAGCAAAAAAAACAAAAAAAAAACAAAAAAATAGTAATAATAATAATAAAAATCTACCAACGGTGTATAAACCGAATCGATGGTCCTTGAAATGGAAGAACGAGCGCACGCGTGCTTGTGTGCATGTGTGAAGGAGCGTAAATATTTACTCACACTACTGCACGACGTGTAGTCGGCAACGGAGGAAACCCTGCTTCACCGGTTACATGGAGTACGGGGCGAGCAAGACCAATGGCAATTTCCTATTTCAATTTTTCAACCCGTTTTCCGGCCCGCTAACCACTGCAGCTAGCGCGTCTAAAAATTTAATCAACCTCCCCGCCGCTCGCGCCGCCGCCGACTTCACTCTGCCGCTACGCTGCGTACAATACAACGCTCCACAATTGCCGGCTACCATAAAACCATAAAAATAATAATAATAACAATAATAACAGTAATAATATTGTGCTGTGCCGTTCTGCCGATACTACTCTAGCTGTTACTATGCTACTTCAAATACTACGTATTACGTACATATACGACTACGGTCGTTAACGATTAACACTAATCTACTGTTATTGTCGGAGCGTCTAATGTCCGCGGAAAATGAAACGACTCGGGTGCAAAGGCCGCGCATCGTATCCGACCGAAACGTCATCACTTATCGCTGCAAGCACGTGCCGTCGGCATTATTCTCGCGACCGTTTCAAATTTATCGAATCCAGGCCGATTGGCCTCGACTTAGGTCGAACAATTTTTATCTATCACCCATGCTCTGTCTAAACGACGACGTTATAAAATAAAATTATAATATACGATTCCGATCTTATTAGCGGTAAAGCACGATTGAGCATAAAACGATTGAGCATAGACCTTTTTAGCAACACGATTGAGCATAGAATATTTTATGCGATGTTGCCAAATTCACGTTGCCAAAATTTTGTAATTTATTATTTTCACGTATTACGTATTACACCAATTATTATTATATCTGACGCGAGCCGTGAGCCGAGCTCCTCAGCTTTATCGACAATGTTATCGATATAGCGTTTCGTATAAGTGCGTTTATAGTTTCTATTTATAAATATTTTGATTTTATTATTTTCATAAGTCATAACTATTATTATTATTATTTTATTATTATAAAACAGATCTATGTACTATATTATATTTTGAATTATTATAATTATTTAAATACATTTTTTTTGTATAATACATTTCAAAATTAAAAATGGCAACATTGCAGAGTTTTTTATGCTCAATCGTGTTGGTTTTCTTTTGTATTTCAATTTCCTTTGATGCGCCGACAATTTATGCTCAATCGTGTCGCAAAAAAGGTGTTTTATGCTCAATCGTGTCGTAGCCCTTATTAGAACGAGTTTACTGCACCACACGTCACGATAAAATCTGATATATATTATATATTATACTCGTATGTATATTGTTTTTACGCATTATTGTCGTCGTCGTCGTCGTCGTCGTCAAATTCGGCTGCAGAACGCCATTTATCCATCTCGATTACAACGTTTGACGATAAAATACAAATCATCTATTTTTAATTCGGGAAAGAAACATTTTTTTTTTCTTTTTCTTGACACTCTGAAGATTCTCAAAAATATATCATTTATATGAATAACTTAAATACTCGTCAACAAAAATCGTCATAAAACTGTTACCATACCTGATACTTGTATTCCCGTAGGTACCAAAAAATTAAGCGTTGAGCGCATTTCTAAAGATTTCTCGTGCGGTCAATCGATTACTCATAATAAAATTGTGTATTTAGACGTACGCGCAAACGCGGAAATCGATTAGTTGAAATAATATCGTACCGACCAATGTCACTTGTCGGAAAAACAATAAACAATTTTATCCGTGCGGCTGTATTGCAGTTTGTGGTGTAATCGTCACGCTTTAGAAATAAAACATACGATTTCACGTGCGATATTATAATATTGTGTATTGAACCTGCAGGATAACAACCAACCTACGACCGACGACACACAGCGATATCGCACGTACTGTGACCTGTTGAACAGAAACAGTAATCGATTTTAAACACGACGCGGTGCTTAAAAAAACACTATACTTGACTTCGTGTCTCGTGTTATTATCGCGACGACATCGACGTCGTCGGTTTTGACCTGCACGGCGGTCCAACGATTGACGATTGCGTTTTGGGTTCGACGGCGGCCGTGCATATACCCTACACAAACGCCGGTCGTATTCGGTGTTGGAAAATCGACGAATTTAAGTCAACAGCAACTGTAACAATGACGACGATAGATGACAATTGATTGCAATTTATCATTATCGTTTTATCATATTCCTTTTCTGTGATATTATACCCAATAATACTTAATAGGCATGCTGACGGTACGCCCGTGTGCAATGACGTTCGTATATAATAATATTATTTACGTCGAAAATCGAGTGCCCAATAATCTGATACAATAGTATTATGCACCTTATTTTTACCAAACAAATTCGATTCCAGCGCGTGTTTTTAACCATGCGTGTTTCATGTCGTGGTTTAGAGATAATATTATTATTATAATACGGTCTCGGTATAAAGCGGTTTGCTAAAAAAAGGTCGTGCAGGTAACTCAACGTCACACCGATGCAACGATGTAACCATCATATACCATCACCCCTGCCACCATTGTCCTCGAAAAATAATGATTTCTCGTTCTAACCTCAACGACGTCGTTGCGATCGCACGAATTCACTATTAATAAAGGTATACACCGCTAACCGGGTATTATATTGTTGAGTTTCCCCACGCCCTTGAACAATATTATAACGTTCCGTCGATAGGACAGGGGATTTTCGACGCGACGTATGCGTGGCTGCGGTGACGTCTTATTGTCATTGTTATGGCCGCAAGAGCTCCGGTGAACGTATGTCG